ATAAATCAGTAATCAGTACCTTTCTGACTTTGAAATAAAGTTTATATCATATGATTTGGAGCAATGTGCGATGAGTTTGAAGGAAATTTGTTTGTGCCATTTTTTTTTGAACACCACTGTATGTGCTTACCCTCTGATCCCGAACTGGTTGTGGAATCAGATTCAGATACTATAACGCTTTTGATAATCTTGGCCTCTCCATATCTTTTCTTTTTTTGATGTGAACTGATGCGACAAATGTGGGAATCGGAAGTAATATCTTTTGCAGATAGATGCACTTTGTGACTGGATAAGTTATTTTTAATGGGGCTGGCTTTATTGCTATTGTCTCCAATTAATGGGATACTCATACCATTTATCTCAATTTTAGCATAGCGCGTACAATTTTCCAGAGAAAATCCAAAGCTAATTTTGTTTCGCGCATCCATAACCATTCTTGTCGATGGATTTTTGCAAATTTGAAAGTCTATTACTTCGGTATTATCTAAGCTTAGCCACTTTCCTTTATAGTGGAATTGTAAATCTAAGCATTTTATTTCTTCGCCTATCAAATCATCACCGGATACACCTTCTAACCCATAATCTTCTTCAAGCTTAAACGCTTTAACTGGGATTTTTTCAAATATTATTTAATAATGTATATTATAACCGAAAAATAATTATCATTTATTCTGAATTTTATCATGTATTAATAAATAATATGACATCGACAATAACTAAACCTACGATTGATTCAGGCACTAACTGGTCAACTATAACCGAAGAATTTGCTAATCATTTGGGATGGAAAATTAATGGGAATAACCACGAATCTCAGAATAGTGTATTGTTAAGCAAGTATCGGGTAAAAAGATCTGGATCTCTCTTCACCGATTACTGGAGATAGTAAAACCCGAGGTTCATCAAGATATTATAAACTCGATAACAAACCCGCATATTTCTCAACACCAGCACATCCCATGTATTGTTAAAAGAAAAAAACCAATTTTTAACGATACCGCATCTGAGTCCTCATCTCTGAGTCGTCTAGCCACGAAGTGACTGCCTCCGGCAACGATGATAAAGATTTTACTGTGAATGTGGTGAAAGCAAAGAAGCGTGGTTAATCTTTATCATAGATTCGGAATGGTCTTGCTTGATCTGGGGATTGGCCTTTTTTTCTGTAATTAACCACAACGGAATAGTAATTTTGTACCGGAGAAGTAAAATTGACAGGTGAATGCCGTAAACAATCTCCAGCGATTGTATATGCGTGAGCCATATTCTCGGCTTCATGTACTACAACACCATAAACTGCACGCATTTTTCGTAAGTATTTAGGAATTAAATCAGTCTTTTAAGAATCTAGTAAACCATTTAGTTCCGGATCCCCAAGTTTTCCAGAAGATATTGCACGCTGAATCCAGGTGAGTAATTCTCTGGCTTTTTCTCGAATCTTTTCCATAGATCTGAATATCTGGCCCTCTGTTCTTTGCATAGCCTATCACTCCGGCATCTGTAACACATAAAGATGTAAGCTCAGCGGGACGAATACAGAGCATTATTATAACATCAGCGAGAGCTTGTAAATCAGGTAGTGTAGAAACATCATACTCATCTAATCTTTCCAAGATTTTTTAGTTCTCTTCGGAGTCGAGAAAGACGTGATGAGCCAGCATTGGCATTTAATGACAATAGGGCTAAGGCATAAGCTTTAGCTCTTACACCTCTAATGCTAAGTTTATCCCGTAAAATCCGTTGCGCCATATTTCCAATAGTCTCCTCCTCTATTCTTTTTTGGGTTTGTTGGAAATCGCAATATTTAAGCTTTTGCCAGAAATACTTTCACATTGTCTATTTTTCTGGGTTGTGAATAAGGCGTTTACTTGATCTTCACTAAACCCATATCTATTTTGCAAGATTCGTTTAGTTATCTCTCTGATAATCTCTTCTTCTAAGCTTTTTTGGGGTGATATTATAGCTATTGGTAGTCGGTGCATTAGTATAACAATAATTTCTAACACCAAGTTTGCATATTTTTTAATTGACTAGCACAACGTTGTTGAAGAGGAACAAAAACTTGAAATAATTATTTTCTTTTTATCAGAAGTATTACGAGCTACCATTTGATGAGTAGCAAGGAACACTATAAAAGTTAAGGAGGTTACCCAGAATTATACCGTATATTAATATTCTAATTTACTTACTTTTTTGAATATGTTACGGTCGGGTGTTCTGGGGTTTGGGAGAGCAATTAATCTTTCGCGTAGGGGTGTTCTTCCGACCGGGGGATGTTACCAGATTAGCTTCA